GTCATCACGTCCTAACCATGTTAACTATTGGAGCTAAACCGTGCACTGTTACTCGCTCTCCCAATTTACAATAGTAATATGGAATAAGTCAAATGTTACGGCACAAGTCGAATGTTACGGCACACATCAAATATTACGGCACACATCAAATATTACGGCACACGTCAAATGTTACGACATACGTCAATATTACAGCAAACGTTAGTTTAACTTTTTGACGGATCATCACGTCTTCTGAGTTACGTAAATTGACATTAAGATAGCTACGTCACTTGCATCTATACTTTAAAAAATTTTGGGGTGCATTTTCTTCGATAGCAGGGTTTATAGTTTTAAATCGAGATCCCTAATTTCTAGAATCAGCCATTTCCAGCTTCAGCCGCGACATTAAATGTAAAAGTGTAACTTTCGTAACATTTCCAAAAACTTAAACTTTTGTAAAGCGTGTGAAGTTGTCATACGGGCGGAAATTTTTAGTTGGATTAATGAAATTTAGGTAATAACAAAGTGATACTCATAAATACTCATAAACAGTTGCCCATAGGCACAAAGTGCCGCACTATTATGAACATAGACACTTTGCGTCAGGCACTAGATGACCGTGTCTAAAAAAGTACCGAGCACTTTTGTGCCAGGCACTTGGTGCCCATATCAAAAAATGAACAACCCAGGGGTTTTTTGAATTTTTATAGCTACGACCTAATTAAATATTCCAACTTAAGTCACTTACTGGTGGACCGTAAGTCATCTGAGTGAAAATACTGTAAGGATGATGGCTCAATCGGCAAAATTTCAGGCACGAAAGTGCCCATAATTGCCTATCGCTATGGGAAAAATAGTGCCAGGTACTTTTAAGGCTAGACACTAAATATCTATGCCCATTTTTGTGCCTGCGGCCTAAAATTTCTTGCTGGGCATGGACACATGCCGGGTTGAAGAACCCTAATATCGATATAAAATTTTTCTCAAAAACTAACCCGACCGGGTTATGAGAAACAACTTTATATAGCCTTAGTATGTTAAAATTTTCAATTTTTCAACAAATAAATGAAAATTATCATTTTATTTAGTGTTCCGATCCTAAATCCGACTACCTAAATTGATCCTCAAATCCGGATATTCAAATCTGAGATTTTTACTCGGATTGGGCGAAGAACTTAAATAACGGACCTAAAGATGTGGTCAAAGCTAGCTTTTATACATATAATCTGACACGGTTTCAATTAGGATTTGATATAATCCGGACGGCCTGTCAGAGATAGGATCGGAACACCAATTTTGATTTACAGCTGTTTTCATAAATCCTGGGACACTTAAAAATTTATTCGTTTCCCGAAATCTCTTCGGTTTCGTTCTGTGAATTATCTAACTCTTCGGAAACTACATCTCTGTCTCCGGACCGAAGTTCCGAAGACAGCGATGTAGTTTCCGAAAAGTTGGATAATTCAAAGAACGAAACCGAAGAGATTTCGGGAAACGAATAAATTTTTAAATGTCCCATAATTTATGAAAACAGCTGTAACAAATTAATTTCATGAGGTTAAGAAATTTCATAACTGAATTTGATATTAAATACGTAAAATAAGTAAATAAACAATCCTTATGCTCTAACTGATAAATAAATAGTATGAACAAATCGAATTAAAGAAATACATTTATCAACTTTTTGATCTTTAGCGTTAGATGAACTTAAATCTTTATTACGAAAAGTATCACATTACACGATTTTGATTTTGAGCTATGCCGGCTGGTAATTTAGGCCGGAGGTAATTTTATTAATGTGAATAGATGTGAGCGTGGTACGCGCGAGAGATCGGAACGGCAATCTCGAAATGGGGGTCGTCTAAAGCGGAGTAAATTCACGTGACCACAGCCAATCAAATTATAGAATTTTGATGGTCAATAAGAAACAAAAACAAAAAACCTAAAAAATACAAAGAACAGCAGTCTAAATCTACCTCAGGTAGGTTAAGTAAGTAAAAATGTCGGAAAGACAATTTTACTTATATATAACTACCTAAAACCTAACATAACCCTAATATAGGAGACCCTAGCCCTAAAGTTAATCGAAAAAATTTTTAAATAGACTCCGCTTTAGACGTTCCCTCGAAATGTTAAGCGCTGGAAGTCGGTGTAGGATTGGGCCAGTGGTTTCCGGCCTGCCGAAGCAAGCCGGCCGCGAGTGGAGAGTGACGGAATCACGTGTTATTGCTTTGGGATGGCTGGGTGGGTCGTGAATTTGATCCTTGAGGTTTTCAAGTGGCAGGGGAAGCTTTTGGTGTTCGCTTCTGATTATTTATACCTTTTTCCTTTAGCGCTTTTGATTGATTTAGACTTTTCTTTTGCGTTCGCCATTATTGCTTTCCCTTCTCACGCCGTTTTACCATATGAGTTGGGTTGCATGTGCTGGCGTGCCCGTTTCCCTTTTCGACCACGTGATCTCCTATCACTCCGAATATAAATATTCTAAATCTGATTACTGTATGATACTTCCATTTCTGGTTTAGCGCAGCTACTTATCATATTATTGTAATCATAATAAATTGTTACACGTAAACTTAAAAGAGGTTAGCAACTAGTAATTTTAAATTTCTGTTAGATTCATATTGGAGCATATAAAAAAATTTTTTTTTGAATTATACGAGGTTGGACCGCTTTTAAAATTGTCGTCGCACTTAAAAAAGATTGAAATCTACAGCATTGAATGAAATGCGATCAAATAATCTTTACCGAACTACTAGTTTTTTCCTGTCTTTACCTAGACCAAAAATATGGTTAACTTTACAACAAAACAACCTCCTCTTGACCCTATAACAGGGAAAGCTACCTCCGTTAATCTATTTAATGCCTCTAGACCTCATATGCGTGCTCTTCATTTCTCATGGTTTTGCTTCCTTATTGCATTTATGTCTTGGTTTGCAGTTGCCCCTTTATTGCCTTCTATTCAAACCGATTTAAAATTAACTTCTACAGAAGTAGGTGATAGTAATATAGCCTCGGTCTCTTCAACGATCATATTTCGTGTAGCGTCTGGTCCGTTATGCGAAAGATTCGGTTCTAGACGTGTTATGGCCTCTTTACTTATTATAGGTTCTATACCGACAGCACTTGTAGGCTTGGCACAAGGTCCCAGTTCTTTTACAGCCATTAGATTTTTTATTGGTATCCTCGGCGCGACATTTGTGCCTTGTCAATACTGGACAACACATAATATTAAATTACTCAAAAACTATGATTTTATTAAACCAAATCATCTTCATTTATATAATGACTTACCTCTCAAATCAACAAACTATATACCTTTACTACTATCTCTATCACAAACTTCTGCTCACCAATTAAAAATATATTCACTAAATACAAATGGTCTAGCTAACACTAAACAAAAACTTCTAAGTGACTTTATTAATGAAAACAATATTGATATCATAGGTTTTTCTGAAACTTACCTTCCTCTAAAAAATGCAAAACATTCCACACTCTTCCAAAAACTAGAAAACTACAAAAACTTTTAGAGCTCTAGTGAAAACTCTCGCCAAGCTAGAGTAGGACTATTTATTAAAATAATTTAGCTAAACATATAGGGAAAATTACAGAATACAAAGGATATATTATTTGTATTAATCTCTTTTTCAAAAATTTACAAATCAGACTAATTCAAATATACTTCCCTACACAAGAAAAAAAACAACTCAAAACA